AGTAAGAATCTTTCCAACAAATGCTGTGAGATCAGAAAGATATCTATATGTGGAAAAAAGAAAACAATCTCATATATACACAAAAATCAATTTCGGGTGGACTGCTAATCTAAATGTAAAGGGGATAGCCACAAAACTTCTAGAAGATAACATAAGAAAATACCATCAAGGCCTTAGGGTAGAGAAAGATTTCTTAATAGGATGCAAAAATAACACAAACCATAAAGAAAAAGAATGAATCATAGAATTATATTAAAATTAAAAACTTTGGTTCACCAAAGACCCCAATAAGAGAATGAAAAGTCAGCCCACAGAGTGGGAGAAGATATATGCGATACACAACTGACAAAAGGCTTGTGTTGAGACTACATAAAGAACTCCCATAAATCAATAAGAAATAAAAGACAAATCAAAAGAGAAATAGGCAAAGGCCATGAATAGATACTTCATAGAAGAGGCTTTCCAAATGGCTAATGAATATATGAAAAATGCTCTTACCAATCATCAGAGAGATAAAGTCAAAGCAACTAAACCTGCGACATACTCATCAGAATGGCTAACATGTAAAAAGACTAACAATACGAAGAGTGAATGAAGATGTAGTGACAGGAACTCTTCCACATTGCTGATGAGATTGTAAATGAGTACAATCACTTTGGGAAATTGTTACTAGCTAAACTGACCATTCACACATCTTATTCATTCCTAGGTATATATTCAACAGAAATGTTTATAACATATGCACCAAAAAGCAGCTGTAAGAACGTTCACAACAACCAAAACAGAAACCCAAATTCCATCACCAGTAGAAAGAATACATTGTGGTGTAGTCAGAAAGTAGAATCTTTGTACACAAATAAAAATAAACTATTGTTATATGCAAGAACTTAGAAAAATATCATGAAATAATGAATGAAAGAAATTAGAGACAAAAGAACATGGTTCCAGAAAACCAATAGTCTGGGAATTGGTAGAGTGAAGGTACAGTGGCAAGAGGGGCTTCTAGAGAGCTGATAATGTTCTATTTCTTATTCTGGGTGGTGACTGTACCAGTGTATTCACCTTGTAGTAATTAACTGAGCTGAACACTTACAATTGATATACTGTCAATTGTAACAGCTATGGACCTTCTACCCCTGAATAGTTAGACGAAACATAATTCTATATTGTTTAAGCTATAGGGATTTTCACATCTTTTTAATATCTCATTGAAACCATTAATAAGATGACTGAAAGTCTTGTTAAGTTGGCAGCAATTACCATACTCACATAATGTCAACACCTCCTGGAGTAGCAGATGATGATGTCTGCTCTTTGCTGGATGAAGAATCAGTAGTACATTCTGGTTCAGAAACCGAATCACTGCTGCAGGGCTCACTATTTGGAGATGCATTTCTTTGCGAGGTAGTGTCAATTGCTATAGGTGTTAGTTCACTCTCACTGAATGCATCACTTATAAACATGCCTTCATGGATTAAATAAGCCACCTCTGTGTCCAGTGAATTATCTTTTGCAGCATTCTTCTGTTGTGAAATCTCCTCCAATTCTCTAGTTCTTTGGTTTTTGTCAAGAACTGAGAGAACAACACTATGAATGATATTTAATGTTGCCTACAAGAAAAAAAAACACATTTTTAAAAAATTTAAAATATCCTACACCTAAAGTTCCCCAAAGTGAATTCTGTGCATGTACTTTTGAGCATCTTATAAATGAGTCAAGGTCATGCATATCAGAATTTCTACCACTCTTTTATTACACAGTAAAGGTGATCTGTGAAAAAATTGTTCAAGAGAAATAGGTTCTCTAAAGCTTAAGAATAGAGTTCTGTATTTTAATTGATTTTTTAAATAGAAATCTCCCTAAATGTATTACGGTATATTTCTCTAATCTGTTAGATAGGTTACTCTAAACATAATTTCCCTGTCAGAGAATCATATTCATTGATGTGCTTGCTTAAAATTAAAAAATCCATATTCCTTACATGCCTACTCTTATATCCACCTCTCTCTCATTTCACCCTTTTTCTCACTGATTCACTACTCTGCGGAAATTCTGGTTCTCTTTCTATTCTTCTAAATTCCATTATTCTCATCTCAGTGCATTTGTTGTTTCCTCTGCCTGGAATGCTCTTCGCCTTGATCTTTGCATATATGTTTCCTTCTGATCACTCAGGTTCTTGCACAAATGCCACTTTCTCAAAGAAGCCTTCTCTGACTCTTCTCCCAGCAACTTAATCCCATTACCCAGTTTTTAAAAAATAAATTATCTTTTTAACTTCTTAATTCTAGGTCTCCTACTAGAATGTTAGCTCTATCCTAATGCTAAGAATAATGCATGTAGGAGGTACATAAAAAATATTGAAAGCTAGGTGAATTAAGAGTAAATTTATATATATTAATAATCTTTATGGACTATTAAGAAATAAGGGGTTATTTGCCTACTTTAACATTCATGGTTATACTCTCATAGTTTGTTGCCACCTTCTCAAAACACTTGATTTCTTTTTCAGGATCCACATGGTTCTAGGGAGGCAGACTTCAATTTCAGGTCTCCAAAAACAGGATAAGGGTCTAAGCTAGTGCAATGAGAACATGAAACCCCCAGGCCTGAGCTTAAAGCTAAAGAAGATACACAGACAACATACTGAGAGAAATGTAGAGAAACAAAGCCAATGCTTAATATCATCGACCTCTCTATGAAGCACCTGAAAGACTGACCTACTTCTGGATATTTTTCAGTTACATAAGCTAATAAATCTCTTTAATTGTTTAAGACATTCTGACTTATGTTTCCTATTATTTGGAAATAAAAACACTCTAAATGATACAATAGCCCATACAGTATAGAGCAGATGTTCTGTGCCTTCAAGGTCTATACTAACAAAGTGTCTATGGATACTGCATTTTTTTCCTCCATTGATTGGTAACTTTCTCTGCCCCAAACTTGCTCCTTCCTACACTCCACCATTAATGCTTTTAATCTCTACACTGTCTTAATCTTTGATGTGCTTATTTCCCCATCTTCATTTTGCCTTTCTTCCTATCTTTCCATCTTGCAGATTTTCTTAACTTTTTTAAAATAGAAAGTCTATAATGTAGACATGGGGTGGACGTGGTCCTTCCCTTCCCACATTTATTCTGCCCCTCCCCCATAGAAATAGAGCCATGCAAAACTGAGTCCACCTTCCAGCTTCAGGTGTCAGTCCTGAATAACCTACTCCGTGTACCCCCAATCTCTTTGCCATATTAGTTCAAAGATAAGAAGACAATCCTGACCCAAATCAATATGTGCATGGCATTTTCCTGACCACAGTGATTATGTATGTGACCTAAACTGGTCCAATCAATTAAAGCTAAGGACTTTCATTTGATGACTACAGAAAAAAAAAAAATCTTGTTCTAGGTGGTATAGTATATATATGTGGAAGACCTGGAACTGTTGTAGCAATTTTACTATAATTAGATTAGTCTGAAGATAAAACCAAGAGGATAGTAGGAGGGAATTAAAACAAAGAAACAAGGTAGGAAAACCAAAACAAAACAATGTCTTTGAGCATCTTATAAATGAGTCAAGGTCATGCATATCAGAATTTCTACCACTCTTTTATTACACAGTAAAGGTGATCTGTGAAAAAATTGTTCAAGAGAAATAGGTTCTCTAAAGCTTAAGAATAGAGTTCTGTATTTTAATTGATTTTTTAAATAGAAATCTCCCTAAATGTATTACGGTATATTTCTCTAATCTGTTAGATAGGTTACTCTAAACATAATTTCCCTGTCAGAGAATCATATTCATTGATGTGCTTGCTTAAAATTAAAAAATCCATATTCCTTACATGCCTACTCTTATATCCACCTCTCTCTCATTTCACCCTTTTTCTCACTGATTCACTACTCTGCGGAAATTCTGGTTCTCTTTCTATTCTTCTAAATTCCATTATTCTCATCTCAGTGCATTTGTTGTTTCCTCTGCCTGGAATGCTCTTCGCCTTGATCTTTGCATATATGTTTCCTTCTGATCACTCAGGTTCTTGCACAAATGCCACTTTCTCAAAGAAGCCTTCTCTGACTCTTCTCCCAGCAACTTAATCCCATTACCCAGTTTTTAAAAAATAAATTATCTTTTTAACTTCTTAATTCTAGGTCTCCTACTAGAATGTTAGCTCTATCCTAATGCTAAGAATAATGCATGTAGGAGGTACATAAAAAATATTGAAAGCTAGGTGAATTAAGAGTAAATTTATATATATTAATAATCTTTATGGACTATTAAGAAATAAGGGGTTATTTGCCTACTTTAACATTCATGGTTATACTCTCATAGTTTGTTGCCACCTTCTCAAAACACTTGATTTCTTTTTCAGGATCCACATGGTTCTAGGGAGGCAGACTTCAATTTCAGGTCTCCAAAAACAGGATAAGGGTCTAAGCTAGTGCAATGAGAACATGAAACCCCCAGGCCTGAGCTTAAAGCTAAAGAAGATACACAGACAACATACTGAGAGAAATGTAGAGAAACAAAGCCAATGCTTAATATCATCGACCTCTCTATGAAGCACCTGAAAGACTGACCTACTTCTGGATATTTTTCAGTTACATAAGCTAATAAATCTCTTTAATTGTTTAAGACATTCTGACTTATGTTTCCTATTATTTGGAAATAAAAACACTCTAAATGATACAATAGCCCATACAGTATAGAGCAGATGTTCTGTGCCTTCAAGGTCTATACTAACAAAGTGTCTATGGATACTGCATTTTTTTCCTCCATTGATTGGTAACTTTCTCTGCCCCAAACTTGCTCCTTCCTACACTCCACCATTAATGCTTTTAATCTCTACACTGTCTTAATCTTTGATGTGCTTATTTCCCCATCTTCATTTTGCCTTTCTTCCTATCTTTCCATCTTGCAGATTTTCTTAACTTTTTTAAAATAGAAAGTCTATAATGTAGACATGGGGTGGACGTGGTCCTTCCCTTCCCACATTTATTCTGCCCCTCCCCCATAGAAATAGAGCCATGCAAAACTGAGTCCACCTTCCAGCTTCAGGTGTCAGTCCTGAATAACCTACTCCGTGTACCCCCAATCTCTTTGCCATATTAGTTCAAAGATAAGAAGACAATCCTGACCCAAATCAATATGTGCATGGCATTTTCCTGACCACAGTGATTATGTATGTGACCTAAACTGGTCCAATCAATTAAAGCTAAGGACTTTCATTTGATGACTACAGAAAAAAATAAAAAATCTTGTTCTAGGTGGTATAGTATATATATGTGGAAGACCTGGAACTGTTGTAGCAATTTTACTATAATTAATTAGTCTGAAGATAAAACCAAGAGGATAGTAGGAGTGAATTAAAACAAAGAAACTAAGCTAGAAAACCAAGACCACATCATGTCTGATGACTAAACTCATTTTTAGATTAAGTTACCTGAGCCAATATATTTATTTTAGTCTTAAAATTAGTTTGATTTGCATACTGTACCTCTTCTGACAATATCTTAGCTAATACAATAATAAATTTTCCATATACAGTATATCAGGTGTTCTCTTAGGGATTCTTCTTCATTGTTTTCACCAGACCTAGAGTTTTAAAAGTTTGCCAATAATTTTTTTCCAGGTCTAGAGACATTCTTGCTTAAGGATGCAAGAATATTTTATAATATATAATAGATTCAACAGTAGGTAAAATATTTACTTTCTGAACTTATCTATTATAGCAGTTCATAGTCAAGTTCGTGTTTCAGAAGGACCAGAACAACTAAACCAAATAAAATTCTCCAAACTTGAGAATACTGAATGAAATACTTTGGTAATTATATTGACAAGTCTCTAAAATGACAGACCAGGATTATTTGTCCACATAACAAAATGAAAACTTAAGAGCTAGAAATTCCCTGAAAAAAATATAAGCTGCTTTTAAGGATTATTTTCTTTTTTAGTTATAGAAATCAGCCTACTCTACAGGGTATTGTCAACAAATAAGAATTTTAATAAAAATTCAAAATACAAATAACAGTAAAGAAGAACAGAGGTCTCATACTTGGAGATTTGATTTCTAAACTTCCTAAAAGCTACAGTTATCAAAATCATGAGATACTGGCATAAATATAGACATACGGATAGAATAGAGAATAATAAACCCTCATATATATGATGGAGTGACAAGAGTACCAAAATCATGCAATGGGAAAAAGACAGTCTTCAACAAATGGTGTTTAGAAAACTGGATATCCACATGCCAAAAACCAAAAAAGAGCCATTCTCTTACATCATATACAAAAATTAACTCAAAATAGATAAAAGATCTATTAGGGGGAAAGCTTAATGACATTGAATTTGGCAATGATTTCTTGAATAAAAGCACAGGCAACAAAAAAAAAATAGATAAAGTGAACTATATCAAAATTAAATACTTCTGTGCACCAAAGGGCACAATCAACGGAGTGAAAAAGCAACCCATAAAATGGGAGAAAAAATTTGTAAGTCATATTATCTGTTATGGACTTAGTAGCTAGACTATATACAAACTCCTACTATTCAAAAACAAACAAAAAACAACAACCTGATTTTACAAAATGGGTGAAGAGGATACTTCTCTAAAGAAGATATACAAAAATGGCCAATAAGCACATAAAAAGATCAATATCACTAATAATTAAAAAAATGAAAATCAAAACCAAATGAGATACCACCTTATACCTATTAAGAAGGCTACAACCAAAGAAAGAGAAAATAACAAGTGTTAACAAGGATGTAAAGAAATTGGAACACTTGTGCACTGCTGGTAGGAATATAAAACGGTGCAACTGTTATGAAAAACAGTATGGAAGTTCCTCAAATAATTAGAAACAGAATTACATAAGATCCAACAATTCCACTTATGGATATATACCCAAAAGAAGTGAAAACAACTAAGAGATACTGGTATTCTCATGTTAATAAAAGCATTATTCACAATACCAAAAAGTGAAAGCACTGACAGAAAAATGAACAAAATGTGGTATATACATATAATGGAATATTATGCAACCTTAAATGAAATTCTGACACATGCCTCAAAATGAATAAACTTTGAGGACATTAAGCTAAATGAAATAAACCAATCACAATAGGGAAGGTACTATGTAATCACACTTATATAAGGTACCTAGAGTAGTCAAAGTCATAGAGGCAGAAAGTAAATGGTGGTTGCCAGGAGGAAGAAGAAAGAGAAAAAGAGAAGTTATTGTTTTAATAAGTACAGAGTTTTGGTTTTTTGAGATGAAAAGAGCTCTGCAGACGGATGGTGATGATAGTAGCATAATCATGTGAAAGCCACTGAACTATACAATTAAAATGGTTAAGATGGTAAATTTTATGTTAAGAGTGTTTTACCACAATAAAAAATTCAATAAATACAATTAACAACAACATGAATTCTTAAGTCATTAATAATTACTCAAATATAAAATTTTCAAGCCCCCAACTTTTAAATTTTTTTCTATATTTATACTAAAAATATTATGGAATGTTCTGGCTAAAATTTTAAGCCTTCGTTTCTTTTTTTAAAATATAATTTACTTTCTACTAAAGTGACATCAGATATTCTTTGTTTCTGAGAAATAAATATAAGAATGTAGAATAGTAAATCAATAACCATGGTAAATTAAGTAAGAGCTTCACAGTTTACCTCTGTAACATGGTAAACACTATTAAAAAACAAAATGATCTTTTCTGATTATAAAAGTAATACAATACCTCTTTGTAGAAAATTTAAGGAAAATAGAAAAAAAAAAAAAAAAACAAATTCAAATTATACATAGTCCACTTAAAGACAACCACCCAAAAAGACAAGCTGTTTCTTTGTTCTATGAAAATGAAGAGATAAAAAAAATAATCTTTTTAACATAGCTGAGATTATACTGCATAAGCAGGTCTATATCTTGTCTTTTCACTTAATGTTATAATGTATGCATTTTCTTTAATAATTAAAAATCCTGGACTACATGATATCCCATGGTAATAAACATACCAGGCATAACTTATTTAAACAGTCTTCTATTGTTAGACATCTGGGTCCTTTCCAATTTGTAGTGTTTTGTTTTGTTTTTTAATTCTTCATTAAAAGTGAACAGCTTATAATTAACATTATTTTTTAGTAAAATCATACCCTTATAGAACCAAACTTTTTTTAAGGTTATATGTCATCCTTAAAGATGTTTCACAGAAGTATCAGTTTAAGTGGCCTGTGAAAATGAGACATCACAACTATGACAAATCAGGTTCCAAACTGTTAATACATCAAATACAGTCGTTTCCATTCTGCGGGGATACATTCCAAGACCTCCAGTGCATGACTGAAACTATGAATAGTACCAAACCCTATATATACTTATGTTTTTTTCCTACCTATATGTACCTATGATAAAATTCAATTTATAAATTAGGCACAGTAAAAGATTAAGAATAATAGCTAATAATAAAATAGAACAATTATAACAATATGCTGTAGTAAAAGCTGTGTAATAGTGGTCACTCTTTTTAGGATATCCCTTCATAAAGGCTCAGTGTTTTCTGACACAGCACAATGCCATCTATTGAACATGTTTTTTGGTTCATGCCTTCCACCCACAAATTTAATGCTTTTTCTATTTAAGCTACGCACTTAGCATGCATTTCACCATAACTTTTGTAGTTTGAAGTGCAACAGAAAAACTAGCATATTTCTTTTTCCTTCTTCACTATTTCATTGATAGAAGATTCATTCTTACCATAGATCTTAACAGCCTCAGCACCCAATTATTTTTCCTTTCCTTAGTAAAAATCAAGAACTTTCACCTTTTCATTTCAAAGAAGCCAGTATCACTACTCCTGCATTTTGGAGCCATATTATTAAGTAAAATAAGAGTTAGTTACTTGAACACAAGCACTGTGATACCATGACAGTCAATCTGATAACCAAGATGGCTACTATCTGAGTAATGGGTGAGTAGCATATATAGTGTGGATCTGCTAGACAAGGGATAATTCATGTATTCATGTCCTGGGAAGTATGGAGCAGGATAGCATGAGGTTTCATTATGGTACTCAGAATGGAGAGCAATTTAAAACTTACTAAATGTTTACCAAATTCTTTATGAGCATTACTGAAATGTCAATAAGAAAAACTCATGCCATAGATAAGTACCAAAGTCCCCCAGACCATTTTAACATGATACTCAGGAGATGCTAGGAATGTTAACTAGCACATACAACACAATACAGACACTTGATAATTCCAAGAATATCTAATTTCACAAAAAGTCTGTTATAATCTGTAATTCCTAATGACTCCCTTATTAAAACACAATCCCAACAAATATGTATTAGGGTCAGTGACATATTTTCTTCTGAAAAATGTTTCATGGTTATGTATTTTCTTCCTTATACTGGGTGGCCTAAAATTAAGTGGTTTAACTAAAGAGACAAAATAATTAATGCATGATCCCTGACTGAATCGCAGATTGAAAAATGAAATAAAAACCTGCAATGAAGGACATTAGTAAGGCAATTTAAATATATACGACATGTTTAAAAATAACACTATCATCAACTCTGAATTTCTAGAAAATTAAGTGGTTTGGGACAGAGTTTTAAGTGATTCTATATACTGAACCTCTAGATAATCTAGAGAGATTCAAGTATCATAAAGCCACTAGAGAAAATATTATTGTATGATATTTAATGCCAAGTAAGCATTATATTTCTTAATATAAAACAAATCCAAATTATAATAAGAACCAAAATACTCTGAAACACTTCAAATCTTACTTAAAACTAAGCCTCTTTAGAAAATTACAAAAACAAAGAAACTGTGTTTTATTCTATATAGATTTGTAAATCTATATAGAATAAAACTAGATTTATATATTTATAAATCTAGAAAGTTGACTTAATTTTAGAGATATTCTGGATAAACTGATAATCACATAAGCTTACCTTAACTCTCTGTAGGAAAACTGTAAACTTAGAGAAAATATCCTTTAGCAGATCAAACCACTGGGGAAAATTCAACATTCTCATCTGATCTGCAAGCCTAGGAAAAAAAAATTCAAACGAAAATAACAATTGTCTTTTATTTATTCAATAAAATAAATGAATTAACCTATAAGTTGGAAGAAACCATAATAAATACTATCTAATAACAAAAGAACAATGCGATTTCATCTAGATATCTAAATAATATTGTAAAACTGAGCTGAAGAGGTCAATTCCCAAACAACTTCTCCTTGTTTAAATATCTCTAATACTAGTCTAGTCAAGTATACTGACTTATGAATCTTGCATAATAATTCCATGTGAACATGATTTGTGACCACTAGATAAAAAGCCATAGAGAAATAAATCAATTTTGGTTAAACATGGAGAAGATATGTTCTAGAATAAAAATAGGAATATAATCTCTTCCTTAATAAACATAATAACCTACTTTTCTAATTAAAACTAAAAAGTACTTTCCACAAGCAAAAGGTAATATGGCATGGTGGCTAAGACCATGAGCAATAGGGCCACACCACCTTGTTTCAAGTTCCAGTCCTGACATTTACTAGTTGTATGATTCTGGACAAGTGACTTAACCCCTCCATGCTCTAATTTTCCCATCTTAACATGGGGAAAGTAAAAGAACTTACCTTATATGGTTGCTGTGAATATTACCTGAGTTAATAAGAAGTACTTACAACAATTCATGGTACATAAAAATGGGCTCTGTAAGTATTAGTTGTCATATCAGCATACATATATATGCAATATATACTAGATATAATATATTTTATTAATTATATGTTACATTAGTATAATAATAAAACTAATTATAAAATTATATTAGTATTATATAATAGTATAACCAATATTTTTATCACTGACATCAAGCAATAACTTCAAGATCAAAAAATTAATGCAAAAGAGAATTCCATAAAGATATTTTATAGTACTACAATGACTTATTACTTTAAATTTTTAATGAATGCTGCTGCTGCTGCAGTTAAGAGTTTATTTTCCAAAGATATACCGATACTTGACATACAGAAAGTTCTCTATTGGAAAAAATTCCTTGGGAAAGAAAAATAAAAAATAAATGACTCTCCATTTCTATAAGACTTTTAATAGAGCCCCAACAACTTAATTTTTCCAACTACTGTACTAGCAATCCTTACATTATTAGGGTTGCTTCAACTAATCTGAAACTGAATTTTCACTAGGTAATAGTATGAAAGTTAGAACTCTACAATCCTCATTTTATGAGTCTGGCCCAGAGAATTTTCACAGTTGTCCATACAGTTATTCATATCTTATGACAGTTAATAAAGTTTACATATCTATAGGAATGAAAACGTCAAAGTCATAAAAAAGTCACTATTCTCAAAATAAAAGAATAGGAATTTCAAAGGTGAAAATAAAAATTATAGACATGGGCAATGCAAAATCATGTACTCACACTTCTCAAAGCCAATTAGAAGTTGAGTTTTAATTATTTGGCTAAATAATTTAAATGTAACCTGCTATTCCTCTGAAAGGGATTATCTTAAATTTTCCCCCTCCATGTTTACACTGTATCTTCTCCATCCTCTCTCTGCCCTGGGAGGCTGAGTACTAGGCTTGGCTATGAGGAGCCTTCACAAAAGACTGGAAAGAGAAAAGGTACTTATAGCTCTATCTCCCTCTTTGAGGGGTTGCATCAGGATGACTCTACTCTCTCTCTCTCCAACGAAGAACTCTTCAACTATTGCATATATTCTTGTCAACTACTACATGTTTTTCTCCTGAATTCTATTAACTGCTCTCTTCCCTTGTGCATGTCATCTTTTCTCCGACTGATATACCCCAAACTAATATTTATACTTACTTCATAACAGCATCTGTGTCTATATCTTCTATTTGCGAAACTTTATCAATCACGCACTGAAAAATTTGAGGAAAAAATATGATTAATGTAAATTCTAAATACTACATGTTCATTTATATACTAAAAAAGGCCTCGATGGGCTAGAAATTAAAAAATTTTTAAGTTTATATTTTGAAATTACATCTAAGAACTAAAATAAAATAAAAAGAGCCTCAATGACTTGGATAATCATTTTACCAGACTTTGTGTCTCTTAATATATACCTCAAGGTGTTTTAAAAAACTGCAGCATTACCATTACCCTATTAAATAATTATTTCAGGGTAGCTTGAACTGTATTAATTAAAATCCCCTATTTAAAACTGTTCAAAACATTTAAAAAAAAACTATAATATTTAGGAACAAGATATAAGCCCCATATTAAAATTCCAAAAGAAATGCAACGTATTTCTGTATATTAATTCCGTAACCTCTTACTTTACTGATTTTTTAAATTAATTAGTTTTTTGTTGGATTCTTTAGGGTTTTCTACATATAGTATCATGTCATCTGCAAATAGTAACAATTTTATTTCTTTCCTTCCAATTTGAATGCCTTTTATTTCTTTTTCTTTCCTAATTGCTGTGGCTAAGGCTTCCAAAACCATACTGAATAATAGTGATGAAAGTGGGCATCCTTGTCCTGTTGCCCTTCTTAGAAGAAAAGCGTGCAGTTTTTCACCACTGGGTATGATGTTAGCTGTGGGCTTTTCATATATTGCCTATATTCTGTTGAGATAAGTTCCTTCTATATCCACTTTTGTTGAGAGTTTTTATAATAAATGGATGTTGACTTTTGTCAAATGCTTTTTCTGCATGTATTGAGATATCATATGATTTCTTTCTTTTATTTGGTGATGTGATGAATCACATTCATTACTCTGTAGATGCTGAATCACCCTTTGACAAATCTCACTTTGTCAAGGTATGTAATCCTTTTAATGTATTGTTGAATATAGTTTGCTAATATTTTGTTGATAATTTTGGCATTTGTGTTCATTAGAGAAATTGGTAGATGAATGGATAAAGAAAATGTGGTGTATATACAATGGAATATTATGCGATTAAAAAATGAAATCTTGCCATTTGCGACAATATGGATGAATCTAGAGGGCATGCTAAGTGAAATGAGTCAAGCAGAGAAACACAAATACCATATAGTTTCACTTATGTGTAGAATCTAAAAAAAAAAAAAAAAAGCAAATAAAACAAAACAAAAACAGATTTGTAGAGACCAAAGACATGATTAGCAGAAGGGAGTAGAAGATGATTGAAAAGAGGAAGGGAAATATAGACAATAATATTGTGCTAAGTCTGAACAGTGACAGATGATTACTAGAATTAGTGGGGTGATTACACTACACTGTAAGGTATAAAAATGTCAAATGACTATACTATACACCTGAAACTAATATAATCAATGTAATACTGTATAGCAACTATACTTAAAACAATTTTTTTTAATTCCAAAAGAAATTCTTTTTGGAGGTTACATTTACATTTCCTTTTAATACACACAACGGTTTAAAGTTAAAAAAAATAAATGCTTAGACTTCAGGAGAACTCTGGGAATTAAAACAGCAGATAAAAAAACTTGTTTAAAAGTAAAACATACATACAGAAAATTATACAAATTGTTTACAGCTCAATAATTTTTCACAATGGAGTATACCTGTGTAACCAGAACTTAGATCATAAAACTGAACACTGCCAGTTAGCCACTCTCCTGCTTCCCCCTCCTAGTAACTACTTCCTCTCAAAAGACACTACTATCCTGATTTCTCATACCATAGATTAATTTTGCTGGTGTTTGAATTTCACATAAGGGGAATCGTATAGTGCATACTCCTTTGTGTCTGGTTTCTTTAGCTCCACATTATGTGTGTGATATTCATTCATGTTGTTCCTTGTTAATTGATTCATTCTCATTGCTTATAGTATTCACTTATATATCATACATCTTTCCTACTGATGATAGAATTTGGGTTTTTCCAGTTTTTCATTACAAATAGTGCTGCCATAAAATTCTTGTGCCATCTTTGGTAAGCTTATGTATACATTTCTGTTGGGAAATATCTAGGAGTAGAATTGCTCAGTCATAATATATGTTTATATTTAGCTCTAGATATTGCCAACAATTTTTAAAAGTCGTTTTAACAATTTTAAAGTACAGTGTTTTAGTCAGTGGTTGAAAAAGGTAAAAGATGGTGTGATTGTAATCTTTTTTTGGTTTGTTTTATTTAAACATTGAAACTCAGTACTGTACATTCAACTTAATGATGATTAATTAAGACCAATGAATACATTTAAAATTTTTCTTTCTCATTTATAAAAAAATGAAGTTCAGTGAATAAGATTTATCTCAGTGAAAAGAGTAAGAACAAAAATCCAGGAAGACTTAAAAAGACATGGATTTTAGTTTGCAATGATGCTTTCTTAGAGATCAGATGAAAGGAACATTTATCTACTGCTAGTGATAGTATATTTTTAACAATTTAAAAGTTTGTCAATCACTGACCAATAATTCCACTTTTAGGAATCAGTTATATGGAAATAGTCTTAACCATGAAAAATCAAACAAAACTTTATACCAAAGATATTTATCACAATGTTCATTACAGTACCAAACTAGAAATATGCAACATAGAAGAAAGATTAAGCAGGTTTAACTAATATTATGAAATTTTATACAACCATTAAAAATGATGTTTCTTACATGAGAAAATGCTTGTATTTCTAACTGAAATATGTATAAATAATATGTACAGTATGCTATCAACAATAAAAACATTAGTAACAATGTACACTTAGACATATTGTTAAATGATAATCTTTTACTAATAGGGCTAGATTTTCCTTCTTTATATTTTCAATTTTTAAATAAATAATATTACTATTATATTATTTCTAGGCTAACTTCACAAATGATTCTAGACCAAAATATATCAAATAAAAAAATGTATAATTACCTGTTTAATGATATTCTTTGCCGTAATAATCATTTCTTCACTATAGATTTCTAAAAAATTAAGTTTTCTTTGTTTTAAAAGTCCAAATACAAGAGATACTAGTCTTTCCTATTAAAATAAAAGAAGAGTATATAACTTCATACTTTAAATATAAAATAATCTCAGAGGCACAAATATTCAACATCAAGGATTTTATTGTTTGATCCTCAGAACTCTATCTGGCATCTAGAAGCCTGAAAAATAAAATAAAAAACCCTTCCACAGAAATCTTGCCATCATATTTTTGGAGTCAGTGTTCTAAAACAAGTAAATGCTATTCCACTGTAGTAGATCAAATGAAGCTGGTTTGGGGGCAAAACATGAGTATATTTTGGCCTACTTTCAACAAGTAGCTAGAAAGTATCCTTCTCAAATCCTGATGACCAATAAATACTCTGTGAGCTTTTTAATTCGTGGTCTAGAAGACTGGAATGATGACCTGGACTATCTGTGGGGAATTAACTGCTAATGGGTACAAATATATCTTAACTATTTAGGGTGCTATCAGGGCTTTTTGAATTTTTTATTAGTTCTTGGCAGTAATCACAACTGAGAAGTTACCAGGTAAGTGTAGCCTGGATATGTTGTATTTGTAGCTAGATATCATAAGACATGTTCGTAATAGGTGCTCAGTGAATGTGAATGACTGATAAGTTACCACATAATAATCAATTTTAAAAGAAGTACTCCAGTACATGCATACGCATGGATATACATTAATTCATCCTATATCTATATTTTAAACTTGGTAATAAACTATATACAGACTTTACTGTAACTCTAATTTCTAATTAAGCTATAAAATTTTATTCTCTAATGAACAATTATGGTGCTTGCTAAAGTCACATATAATGAAGGACTTCATAGGTTTGATAGAGCTTGATTTAATGTAATTTTGTCCACTACTATCTGAGAAGAATGTGCTCTAAACTAAGGATATTAGGAATTAACACTAAGCAATGATATCAATTTCATTCCACAGTTCAAAACACATACCTCTTCTAAAATTTGACGGTCATCTTCCAGTGGTCTATTTAAGTCACTATGAGAGTAACTAGAAAATTCTGCAATCATCATTTTATCTATCAGTTTTTCTAATTCACAAAGCTGTGATCCCAAATGCCTGCAAAAGAAGAAAATATTACATATGGTCATTAAAAATCCAAATTTACTCCATGATTATAGGAACCAGCAGGTAAAACTTTTCTGACAGTATTTGTGCAATATTGTGATGTTTTAGTAAAATGGAGTCTTTTAACTTAAAATAACTGCAATAGTTTCACATCATCTCTCCAATTCTCTTTTTCTCTTTAACCTGCAGTTAAATGTGTTGTAGAAAACCTGGTTCTAGAAATTTCATGGCTGCTTTTTGTCTACTTTTTACAGACAAAATATTCGGGTAGTCTATAAGTCCTTTCTTCATTAATCATTTACTGACTATCAATGCCAGTGGCTCCTAAGCCATTCATTTATTCAAGCACCTATACTCTGTGCCAGACCCTGCTCTGGATGCACATAAATATGTGAAGGACTGTAGGGACATTGACTCAATAAATGAATGGCTTAGGGCAGTGGCTCCTAAGCCATTCATTTATTCAAGCACCTATACTCTGTGCCAGACCCTGCTCTGGGTGCACATAAATATGTGAAGGACTGTAGGGACATTGACTCAATTCAATCTCTGTCATCCTCAGTTTAAGTTGCTGTGCAAAATGCCTCAGGTCATTAAACTGAAAGTCAAGACTGAAAATATAAAATACTGAGCACAATATATTCATGAAACATTTTCTCATAAAATATGTTTCTTTTTAATATACCTCCATTATGTGCAGATCCTAGCTAGGTTGAAGTGAGAAGGAGTCTAATCTGGGAAGAGTCATGGGGGTGGTAAGGGCAAGTATTACTAAAGGAACTTGGAATCTTTAGGAAAAGCATGCATTATCGCAATGAATAAGAATAGTTTCATGTTATCCCTGCTTGGCAAAGAATAGTTTCATGTTATCCCTGCTCGGCAGGGCATTAAGGATAGTACCCTCATATGCTAAGGAACTTCTGCCACACAATCTAATAGCTTCTCCCCCGCAAAAAAAAGAAAAAATGGGTTGAAGAAACTTAGGTAATCCAGTTGGTCCAAAGTATTCCAAAAATTAAGTGAAATAGGCAAATGGGAAATCTATTTAATCTTAAATTTAAACATTTATAATTAAATTAAAAAAACATTTAAAATATGTCTATACTACATTTACTTAAAAAACAAACCCTTAATATCTGCAACTTTGTTTATTTACCAAGACCAGATATAGCACATTTTAAAAAATTAGTTTAAACCATGTGACCTTTTAGACAGATTGATTGTTCTTCTTTTATAAACAACATATGGCAAACAGTGGTGATAATTTTGAAAAATCTGATGAGTAAAATAATGTATAAATTTGTATTTTGCAATATGAAAATTATATTTTTTAAAGCAATTAAGAAAATATCTCACAATAAACAAATTTGAGATTTATCCCCTAGTACAAACTAAAACATTGCCATAAGGGGAATTTGGCAAGTGTCTAGCAAAATTACATAAGCATTTAACCTTTGACCTAGAAATCTCACATCCTGTAATCTGTCTCAAAGATACACTGGTAAAATTACAAAAGAACATAGTTCATTGCAGCACTGTTAGTAACTGCAAAGGAATGGAAATGACCCGAATGCTGACCAATGGGGGATAGTTGAATGTATCATAATAAATACTACGCACTTTTAAAAGAACTAAAGAATACCAGTTAATAAATATATACTGCTATAGAGCAATTTCTCAACCTCTTTTCACTATTGCCCCCCTAACAAGTCTTTTTAGATATTTTTATTCCTAATCACCCCCTCTATGAAATTTTAATATCACATATATACTATATATCTGTTTACGTATCCTGGCCCTTTTGAGAGCCACAAACCATTGTAATATCCAAGAGTTTTTTTCGCCCTTCAAGACCAATTTTTTTTCCCTTGGGGTGATATCTCCCCATTGAGAATACATACTGTAAAATGATCTCCAGGATATACTGTAAGTTGAAACAGCTAGGAAAAAAGTATGTACAGTATGTTAATGCTTATCTAAGATGAGGAACAGATGGAGGGATAGATGAAGAGATGGATGGAGGGAGTGATAAATGGATAAATATAAACTAAAACTTTAAATGGTAACTTCTATAAGTAACTTCTATGAGTAGGTAAAGAGGAAGGGGACCAGAATATAAGTTAAATTTCTCTGTATATCCTTTATTTCATGGATTTGACTATGGAACCACTGTAACTACTTAACATAGTTATAAAACAAAATTACGTTTTAAAAGATCAACCCTTAACTATCAAAAGCAAATGAAACAAGTGAACTTAAGTGTGTATCAAGTTAGTGGCAAATCTACACAAAGAGGAATTATTTTGAGTGCTTTTAAAGCATACTAATTTATCCATTCATCCCACAAAGGACATGTCTTAAGGAAAAGAAAGAAATCCTACATTTATAGCAATCATGTTGTTAGTTCTGAGAGCATTCTATTTACATTGTGAGATAAAACAAATGACTAATTATGTTGATGTTATTAGGAACCACAGTTTTCAACCTGTTCAAAAAAGATATATAAGTAAAATGGAATAAGTAAAAATTCTATAATTCTGAATTTAAATTGAAACTATCAATATGAAGTCAAGATGTTTTTCCTTATAAAGGAAAAATTATTTTCTAGCTTTGTCCACTATAAAGGCCTCTTAGCTAGGAAAACTTCTGATATCCAGACTGTAATTTCTAAATAACATTTCCAACCAAAAGAAACTAGAGTTCTTGAAATGACAGATTATAATTCTGGAGTAGAAAATATGAAATATGAATATTGTGTCATAAAATAAATACAATCAATGACTACCCATGGAATCATGTCAAAAAGACTCAAGAATGAATTTGAGGAGGTTCCTACAAAAGACAATTTGAACACTGATAAAAATAAAAACAACAAAGAACTTAAACACTTCAAATATATATAAATTCATGTGTTCATAAAAATATTTTTTAAAAACTTATCAGTCAACTTTGGAAGATGCTAGATTTTCAATGCATTATTTTAAAAACTGCTAAGGGAAAAGAATAGACTATCCTGCCTATGCTTATAAGAAATGTCTTTCAGAGTTATCAAATAATTGTTATGTAGAAATAATGCTTTAAGGAAATATCCCCCTTAATAAATGAATAAGGAAGTATAGAATTAGAATATCATGATTTACAACCCATAATGAGATAAATGTAGGCAATGATCACCAAATGTTAATATAATGAAAAGAGAGACAATCAGATATACACCTTTTGACTGAAATATATAGCACTACCTATTACATGCTCTTGACAAAAAGTAACTTTTTTTTAATTAAAAATTTTTTTAAATCTGGTCAAGTCTTTAAATCTACCAGTGTATGGAAAATATAGCCAAAAACATGCTAAACATGAGGATGCACTCAGCAAATATCCAGACTTTGAGAAGGCTCTACAAGACAACTCAATTTCTTTAATGAATATTTTGAAAAGGGAGAATACAAGAATGGAGAACTATATATCAAAAGATACTTGAAATACATCAACCAATTACAATGCATAGATATTATCTGGATCCTGGTTTCAACAAACAAAAAGATTTTTGAGACAAACGGAAGTTTGAAAACTCACTAGCTATCTGAAGACAAATAATATTAGAATTATGTTTTTAAAAAACTTAATGGAAAAACTTAAAGGTAAATAATAAAATATTTATGGATGAAATGAAATAATGGTTTGGATTTGTTTCAAAACAATCCAGGAGTAGGGGGAGTGATATTGAGAAAACAAAGTTGGCCATGAGTTTGTAACTCACAGATGAATCACAATTTACCCAGCTTCATATAACTCTCTTCATGTAATTTCCTCTATTTTTGGATTTGTTTCTGTTTTTATTAATTTTTTTTTAAAAGCAGTAACAGAGTAGGACATAAATCTACATATTCCTATTGCTTGGTTCTCAACTTTTATGAAGATCAGATTCCTTTTTAAAGTACACTAGAGGTGAACTCTCAGGTTAGTGTTAACTTCAGGTATAAATGAATAGTCTTCAACAAATCTCACCAAAGAATTATGGTAGGAAGTCGATATGACTGTATCTACTTATGTTGGGCATCTAAATAATAAAACTTTGTCATTTCAGCAAAATAACTTACATGTAAGGTTCTATTTGACCCCAGATATTGTCTTACATAAGTAGCTTCATTTTTATGCAGTCCTTAACTAATTTTAAAGCCTGATAAATATAAAAAACAGATGAATATGAACATCAAGTAGTATTTATTACATAATCAGTTATATATACATAAAAATTTGTCTAAATAAATCCTTAAACAAAACTTCCAGAATTAAAATGTTCTACAAGATTCACCTATTCATCCTGGCTCTAATTGTTTTTATATTCTTGACTACTTTGACAACAGATGTAATAATGGCCTGCACATTATTATTAACCTTATGAAAAATATTTAATGATAAAATCTGTTAACAGTTCATTTTTAAAGCATGTATCCTAATAATCACATTCAGTAATTTAGAGGGGTGGGAAAAAAAATCTACTGAAACAACAAATAACTTAAATATCACTTTCTGAAAAAAAAACACTTAGGTCCATATGCGCTAAATAAACTGAACAATTCCAGTACTTATTACTTGACATGCCTCAATTTGTACATTAATTCAGATCTTCTACTAAGCTGTGTGTTCACTACAATGACCTTTGTGTTGCCTTTATCAGAGATTTAGATACCAATAAACTCTACAGTAATTCTAGTTTCATCAAATAGCAGAAAACTTGTTTTTTTGGCTTCATCCTAGAACATATAATGTGGATATTTTCTAAATACATTTTGAAGATCTAAACTATAGATTACATCAGGATCAAAGAATTTGTTATCTTTGATACTTTCAATAATAAAAATTCCTTAAATAGAATCCCAAGGTGACCTCAGACCAATGAAACCACAATACATTAGAACCTATAATTAACTGAATGTTTTCCACAAAAAAAGGCTTATAGTTGACTAAAAAACAAGCTAGTTTCATTA